ATATCACCATTTGGGTGTTCGACTATTTGGTCTGGCTGTTTATTATGAGTCTTATACTGTTGGTTTTCATTATAAACAGTCCATGTTCAGGTAGCACTATTTGAGACCAGTCAATAGATTTGGGTATAATTGTATTAGATTTTTCTATATTGGTTTGAAAAAATATTGTTTCTTCTTTCGTATCTTGTTGTATTACATTTGGACATAATGTAGTCATTACTTTATAACAAATCCTATATACTAGGGCTATATTTTGGGATCCTGGGTTCATGTCAAACCCTTGGGTCTTAAGATTCAAAGTTAATACTTTAAGTATATTAGGATCACTGAGTGATACTGCATAATTAGGGAAACAATTAAAATATACTGGGCCACTACATAAACTAGATTCTACTATTCCTAATAATGAGTCTAAAAATTTATTATGTCTATTGTCTCTTAAACATAAGAGTATAGAGTTGTTTAGCCCTAATCTAGTAAGTGGTTTTATAGCTACTTGAATTAATCCTATATGTAAATATTTATAATTTTTATTCTTATATGATTGTATTATTTTATTTGACAAGAGTTGGAAGTCTTATTGCTCGCTTGTAACAGATAGACTATGTTCTACTGTTTTTATAACATATTATATTTTTAAGTCGAACGTTCCCTTTTTATTAATATCATATATTGGTACCTCAGGGATGTTCCAATTCTGAATTTGTTTTTCAATATTCTCTATTAAAACTTCTTCTTTATTTTTTATTCTAAGAGTGCTATTAGATGAAGATAAAGCCTTATTGGATAGATTCCTAATGAAATTTTCCATTAGAAGTTACGGATGAGTACCTTTAGTCAACCTCTTACGTCTCTTACGACCTCAGCGGCTCTACTTGGCCTTAGCGGTCTTTCTAGACTGGGAGGCAACAGTCTCAACACTCGGACTAACTTTTTTAATAGAGAAATTTAATTAGGTTTCTAGCCTCTAAAGTGTTATCTTTTAACTAATAACAGTTCTTCGAATAAAGTTTAGATATTACTATTACTATTATTACTATTAATATTATTACTATTACTATTATTACTATTATTATTATTATTACGATTATTATTATTATTACTATTATTATTAGTATCATTATTATTATTATTATTATTATTATTATCATGGTCATCATCATCATCATTATTATTATTATTATT